TAAAAGACAGTTTTGCTATTAATAAGTGATAAAAACCTTCGAATATGACCAGTAGTGTTTGAAATACTGTCGAAAAAGAAAGGTCAATAGAAATTAATCCATCTCAAATGTTAAAGCAACAGTCCCAGCAGGGTTTCTACCTTCGACACTAATGGTGTGGAACGATGCGCTAGCCCTAGTCAAGAACATAAGAAGTGTGACTGAACAAAAAACTCACCTTGGAAAGCCGCTAGAAAGGGAGCTGAACAGCTTCGAAGTGGGCGTGGTTGCTGCAATCCCCTCGGCCGATTCCAACCACGCCCACTTCGAAGCCGTTCAGCTCCCTTTCTAGCGGCTTTCCAAGGTGAGTTTTTTGTTCAGTCACACTTCTTATGTTCTTGACTAGGGCTAGCGCATCGTTCCACACCATTAGTGTCGAAGGTAAAAACCCTGCTGGGACTGTTGCTTTAACATTTGAGATGGATTAATTTCTATTGACCTTTCTTTTTCGACAGTATTTCAAACACTACTGGTCATATTCGAAGATTTTTATCACTTATTATTAGCAAAACTGTCTTTTAAGCTTCTTTTTTGTATTCTATTTATTAAAGTAACCATCGCTACTAACATACTGCAGTCTGCCATTGAAATTTTTTAGATCGAACTCATCGGCTGAACTACTGATGGGATTTTCCAAGTCGCAACTCTTCAAATCAAAATCATGTGCTATCCTTTTAGAGATGATTCGACATCCATCGGATGAAATGTAAAAGTAATTGTTGTGTGAAAAAAGATTGTTTGATCGTGAAAAATCATTGTAGATCACCTAATGTCGATGTATTTGCTCGATCGATCGCTGCACAAAACCGACTACCTTCAGAGACTCGTGTCGTGACCGTGCAGGCACCATCAAAATGGTATACGTTCGAGGATTTGCTTTCTGCCAAGGAATCAGGTAGTAGTGCATGCCTTGAGTCTACATATTTAACAGTAACAAGGATGTGGTTGGCTAGGACAGAAAGCAGCTTTTTAAACTTTTCACAGCGCGAGACTTTTCGTTGCGAGAACTCCAGGTCCACCATTGATAAGGACGCGAACCCAACCCGTGGTGCAATAGTTCGGGCCGCTTACAGTAAGCCGAATTTTCGCAGGTGAAAGATACTTGTGGCGGGAATGATAAAAGCGGTACAGTTATCTATTCTGGAGCTTTCTCTCACTACAGGAGTTGGAGTTACTGTAGACGGCACAAGCGGTTGGGTGGATTCGCCAGCAAAGAAAGCAAATTTTCCGCTTTCGCCGCGCGAAACTTTTCACCGCTCCGATAACCCCAGGTTCACCATTGATTGGACGAGAAGCGGAAAAGTTGCATTCTGTCCTAGCGAACCACACCTCGAGCAAATGCACCACGTGACCTCCTTATTAGAGTATACAGGGGGGCCAATAAAAAAGACATTTTGTCTCCACTTCCAGATGGATTTAAGCACACTTTGCTCAATTCAGACCGAATGGTTCCCAACTTATTATTAAAGAGCGCATTCCATTCTATAAGAAAATCTTCATGTTGGCCACGTGGACGGCATCAGAAGAATTTGCCCTGGAAACATGGTGCACTGGTCGAGCTCAATGGGGTCTTCGAAGGATCGTGTACCATAACGACCCTTACTGGAAAGCTAGTTCCGAGGGGATTTGCACAGTGGTAGCTAATGCCTCTAGAAAACTATCCAACATTAAATCGATTCACGAAATTGCGTAAGAGCTTCAGGCTGAAGCTCTTACGGTAGACCTCCTTGAGCCTGACGACGGTGACAGATGACGTCATATTCTGAAGACGGTGAGGGCAGTGAAGGAGGGCCTGCGTTCACTTATAGAGGGACACTTAGGGAATACTCTGCTGAGGAACTCCCGTCAACGACCGGCAATCTCTGCGAAGAAAGAAGGGCCGAAGTCCGACATAGGCAAAATGTCTTTTTTTTTGCCCCCCCCCTGTAAAACTCCCATTTCGCTAAACTATCCGCATCAGAACTCACGCTTTTTTATTTCAGAAATGTTTATTGTTATTGCCTGTCCGAGTTGTAGCTATGCTCGCACGCTGAAACAGCCTCTTGTTTTGGAGTTCCCGAGGCTAATCCTGATTGACTGCTGCGATTTTGCTGAGACTCCAGGTAATTTCTTTGTGTATACTTAATTTTTATACATGCGTGTATCTTCTGCTTACCGTGAGTGCCTAGTTCAAGGCGCAACAGCGGGCATACGTCGACATTTGTGTCATCGTCCCAAAGCATTAGCATATGTTTATGTCTAAGCTCTGTATACCCCACGCGATTTACGCTCGTTCTTTTGGGCGCAATTTAGCTGCAAATGATGCGACTTTCAGGATGGACTCATAAGATATAACGTTAGACTGCGACGCCTATTTCCGCAGAAACTTGCCTCTGTCGATTTTGTTGGCCTCTCTCTATTGTTGCTTAGACTACTCTCAATCATGCTTAAGAAATTTCCAACTCAGACTCTACTAAACATTGGAGACTATTTTTCTAGGAGCGAATAATTGGTAGGATACAATTGATATCCGAAATTCCTGCGTTTTTCCCTAGAAACTACCTTTTTTCCTTCGAAACCTTTTCTTGAAGGTAAGAGGCGTTCAGATTGAGCAGATGAAAATACTCATATGGTTTCAGTCACCCGACAAACTCGGTCACGGATTGACTTGTTAACGGCACAGCTCTTCACAGCGAAAGAAGGCTTACAGAGCTTTCGAATTAGCTTACTATTCCAGGTCTGCGTTGCGTCAAGCGCTTGAATGAATGCGGCTTCGTAGACTGCTCCTTTCGTCCACGGTCATACCAGCAGTGGAAAATTATCAGATTAGGATGGTGAGTTGATTAAGTGACAGTTTTTTAGCGTGAATCGCTTACCCCAAACATCAATGCATGCTTTTTCATTCCTTCCCTACTTTCTGTCTGCATATTTGTTTAGATTTCTCTTGAGCAGCGGCCCCGCTCCCGTCACTCTCTACCTCAGCTTCCATCGGTCGCTTCCCGCATCTTCTTAATTCCCCTTACAATGCGTTCTCCTTTACTCACCCTCCTTTACATCATCCACTCAGAAATTGTCATCGCGATAAAATTGACCACTGATTTAAACGAAAACATCAGAGATGAGGGAACAATTTGGGTGGAAGAGACATAGAGCTGGGAAGTTGTGAGATTTGATACTTCAGTGGATGGTCTGGATTGGTCTGAAAATGAGTTGGGTTGCATATATGAAAACAAATAGTTACCGCTCTGTGCTATCGTACACAAGCGCTATAGATGACTGGCAGACAACAGTGGCTAGTCGGCTTCCCTAATATTCTTGTTAGTGCAAATTGAATACCAATTGTTTTTTTTTTCTACTGATGCACCTTACACCGAATCTTGCCTATACCACTTGTGCAGTACTGCTAGGACGAGTGAATGGTTGCAAATCTTTTTTTTGGAACCCTACCACTTCATTCTGCTTTTTTTGTTTTCAGCAATGAAGAACTGTTAAATGCATTCGTGAAGCGATGTCAAAAGTCATAATATGCCATTATGAAACGATTAATCGAAAATTTTATTCACATTTGTCGAACCGGTACATGTAACATTCGTTGTTTAAAATTGAGAAATTATTCAACTTAGAAATTTATAGGGTATTTGACATGTACCAATTCTGAATATTGTAAACACTCGGATTTTGTGAACATGGAAATAGAATAGCATATATCACCTGAAGTTGATTGATTGGAATGAATTTATGAGTGGTGTACGTGAATATGAAGTTGCACTGCCCAGAGATCCTGAAGAGAAAGTGCCACTGAGAAGTGTTAATACCGTATTCCGGCCTTATTTAGTCACGGTGAGTTACAGCCGATTAAGAAAGTGTAAAAGCAAAATGAGCTCAAGCGCGTTATAAATGTGCGAGTGATACAATAATGCGAAAAAGAGGCAAATGAAGACTGTGGCAGCTGTTTGAAGCTAGCTAGCCGTGACTAGGTCAGAATGTGGTGTCGATAGTGGTTCTGTGTTTCGTTGGGATAAAGTTAAAGCTCTTAGGAAACCCAGAGGGACAATGGTGTACACAGGAATAGACTATTCTGAAATAAACAAAAGAAGTGCTGCATCAAAGCAGCGAATAATGAGTCGATGTTAATTTTGAGTGATATTAGAAATTAATCACTTTGGTCATCAAGTACATTATAAAATAAGTGTGATATATATACAACCCTCATAGAAAAAAATCTGTATCGGTTTCACCGTGATTGCTTGAGATGTAAAATAAACAAGAGAATGGTGAAGTAGGTAGCAAGAAAAGCAGTAGTAGATCTACACCCGGAAATGGAGTGCAATTGGAAATTTGTCAATTTTATAGTACCGCTCCCGCATAGATATGAGGCGGTACCTGCACAGTTCATGATCATTTGGGACAAGACGGAAGTCAAAGATGAAAAAAAAGTGATTCAGGAATTTCGCCTTCTTGTTCTTCGCTAGGGTGGCATGGAAGGTGTGCGGCCAGGGGTAGGGGGTTGAGTCAGGGTGACCAACAAAGCAAACCCTGAAACACTGCAGCAGATGGTAAAAGTTTGGACACGGGAAAAATGGTGTTCTATGTCAGAAATTTATCTTACCAACAATATATTCGAAAAAGGTGGAAACACTATGTGACTGCTCCGTCCTTCCTCACTCCTCTTCGACTTTCCCGGTTAGTAACCCCCATCTTAACCCAACTATTGCGTAAGTGTCGTTTGTGTAAGCTCAAGAAAGGTGGTTCGAACACTGACTCTCTGTTGGACATTTTTTTCGTCTGCATACAGTTGAAGGTAGTTGCCTTCGCAACCATATTTTAGGCAGTAATTCCGGTAATCTAGGCAATCGGATTGGACTGCAGCAGGGCAAGAACTACTTTCGAGAATAAATAATTATGCGCACGCCAAGAATGACGCGAGAAAGGAACGGGATGTTTGAAACACCAGGAGTTGGGACTGGTCTGCTGTTACCGGGTGCCGTCATCGAGTTTCCTCACGAGAGTGAATGAGGGGTTGTGGTGGTGCGCTGCACGCGCTAAGAAAGCCAACTTTTTTTGATTAGTAGTATTCGCTTCTATCAACTTTTGTTGTGTGAGGACTTGCTGGAGAAACAGGTGAAACAACGATACAATCAATTATCGTAAGCAATTATGGGCATTGTTTTATGGCAATGAATGGGATTTTTTTTTTGCGGCTCTTCCTCAGGAGGAAAGAATGACTACGATTGAAGAACTAGTGAGAGGAATTTCAGGAGGTGGATTGCGCCATGGAGTTTTTTTTCGACGAAATGTCTCTGGCGCGGGTATGAAATGGGTAGCTCGAGGGGTAATTGTCAGGCTATCTATGATTGTGATTATCTGTCGTTTCAGGCCCGCCTACAACGAATGTGGTGAGTCGACCTGGGTCGTTAGTTACGCGGCCATCATTTGTTTGACTAGTAAGGCCGGCGTTTATTTCTGTTACCAGTTTGGGGCTGCGCACGCATTCGCGTGCATCACACGGGGGTTCAACAGGATGATCACTGTTCTTTTCTAGATTTTAGTTTTCTTTCGGTACATCCCATTTACACCGACTATTTTAGGTCAAACTACTAATTTTCTATTATCCTACTATATATAATCGGCTAAGCGGTTGTGTGTGTGTGTGTGTGTGTGTCTGACCGGAAATTCATAACTTCGTTCCCTTTGATCCCAGAGCGCTCAAACTTCTAGGGTATATAGGGGGTCGGGGTGAACACTGATGGTGGGTGGCGGAAAGTGATAGTACTGATAGAAGCTGATAACGGGCGTCAGAATGCCGATGCCACCAACTTCCTTACGCCGTTCGCGTTGGCAGTGGACTGCTAGCACTCATGAATATTGTGTAGAGTAGGACTGGGACCCAAATGGTGAGCGAAGGAAAGTGATAGCAAATGATAAGGGCTGATAAGGGGCATCGGAATGCTGACGTCGTCAGTTTCGCAACGCCCTTTGCGTTGATCCTAAGATGTTCGCACTCATGAATATTATGTGGGGTGAGGCAGGGACCAAAAGGGTGATCGGAAGAAGGTGGTAACAACTGATTAGAACTGATAAGGGGCGTCAAAGTGTGGATACCACCAGTTTCGTTGCGGCCTTCGTGGTGACAGTAAATATTAGCTCCTACACGCTACAAGATGGGACGGAGATACGGTGAATGTGGGTGACAGAAAGGGGTGTGAAAGGCAGGTGCACTAATAAAAATAGCGACAATTGAGTGTGCACTCGGTTAAACTTAACCAGATTCCTAGCACGGGAATATGTTCCATTTCCACCCTTTCATCTAAAAAAGCAAAGGAAGTTGAGCTGCTCCACTATCTGGACTTGGACTAATAGCGAATAAAATCAAATTTCCAATTTCCATCATCGATTGATGCTGATTGATTGGTTATATTCCACTTACACACCGATTCTTCAATTGTGGGAATTCTATAAACCGCTAAATCGCCCGAGCTCGATATCAATGCTAAATGTTTACGAAGTCATGATAAGTACCATCATTCCGCATGCTACTGCGCGCATTACGCGACAATCTTCAGCGAAACTGGACAACCTTTAAACATCATGTGACACATCTTCCAAACATCTTACTCTTAGTTTCGCCACGTGGACTAGATCTGCAGTTTGTCCAGTTTCCACATGTGATGGCGCGGTTTTGCGGTGCGGAGCTAATGGTTAACTATAAGGCGGTTTCGGAGAGGGTCTTTCTTCCAAGACAGGGTTTTTTTTTCGGAAGGTGGTAAGGCTGAAAAATTATGTCTGTGACCAATGTTCTCTCTCTATTACTGCAGAGCTGCTGAGTGAGATTCCAAGGTACGGCTGCTTTGGAGACACTCCTCTTTCGAAATTCATGGGTAACCCCGCCCACTTTTGCGCATGTCCTGCCCACTGAGACTTCATTTCTTTCGCTGACCTCTATACTTTTTTCCTGGTGTCCAAGACTTCTTGGAACCGAGTAATAATGTTTCGTGCATAACTCCGCCCACTTTTGTGCAAGCTTAGCCCACCATTAGCATGTAACCCCTTTCCCTCCGGCAACCCTTATCCACATTTCTCCCGGTCGTCTAGCCGTTTTGGAACCGAGTTATGAGAGTGGTGGCAAACTCCGCCCACTTCGGGCCCAGCGTTCACATTCAACTCTACTTCTCCTCTCACCTCTACACATATTTTTTAGGTTCCTAAGTCATCTCGGGGCCGAATTATGAGGTCTTGTAGAAGACGTTATGAGACATGAGTTTTCGTGGCAAACCCCGCCCACTTTGGTGCACACTTAGCCCACCAATAGCATTTAACCCCTTTCCCTCCGGCAACCCTTATCCACTTTTTTCCCGGGCGCTGGGGCTTCTAGGAACCGAGTTATGAGAGTGGTGGCAAACTCCGCCCACTTCGGGGTGTGCCACGCCCAGCACTCACATTCAACCTCTACTCCTCCTCTCACTCCTATACACATTTTCTTCAGCCCCCCCCGTCCCCCCCCCCCCCGCCCCCCGCCTGGTCTCTAAGTCGTCTTCGGAGCAGAATTATGAGGTCCTGTAGGGGACGAAATCGAGCTACGTATCTTTGTGGCAAACCCCGCCCACTTTGGTGCATGGGTCGCCCACTGATATCAGTTGACTATCATCTCTTCCCCAACCTTTTTCTACTTTTTTCCCATCTCCGGAACTTATTGGAACCGAGTTATGAAGTACCGTGGCAAACCCCGCCCACTTTGGTGCATGCTCCGCCCGCCAACAACGGTTGACCCCTTTCCCTCTGCCAACCCTTATACGCTTTTTTCCCGGACTCCGGGACTAGGAACCGAGTTATAAGCCTAATTGCAAACTCCGCCCCACTGATGGAATTGATTAGCAGCCTTCCCTGACGTTTAGCTTCCCCTCCCCTCCTGACCTCTATCCGCTGTTTTCCGGTCTCTAAGTCATCTCGGAGCCGATTTATGAGCTCTTGTAGAAAACGCTGTCCGCTTCACGACACGCTCCGCCCATTGTGGGCGGGCCTCCGTTCACATCATGCGTGTGGAAATACCTTAGGCATTGCTCCCCTGCACTAATTTCGTTTCTGGTCTGTAGGCTTCTTCTTAACCGAGTTATGAATATTTTCACTGAGCACCCATTTTCTAGAGAACGCCCCGCCCACCGAGGGTGGGTCTCCTCAGTTCAATCTGGCTTACCAACCCACACCTATGCCCACTTTTGTCCCGGTCTCGAGGCTGTTTTGTGACTGAATTTGAAATCATGGTCCTCAGTACCACTCATTTCGACGCACGCCACGCCCACTGTGGGCGGGGCTCCGCTTAGGTAATGTATGTTTTTTACTTCTCGAGATATGGTACACCCATCCCATACTTGACCTGGACCCAGTAGGTTGTTGTCCGCTTAATACGGAATTTCGTGACAGACAGCGGACGAGGGACTTTAGGCCATGTATATATAGTAGGATAGGTGATTCTTGAAATGTTTCTAGCCGTTTTTTTTCTCACTGCTGCGGTGGAAGTTTGGGATAATTCCACTAGTTACAGAAAATTCAAAATCTGAGAGCGAAATTCTGGAGCACGGGGCTTTGATTGAGATAATGGGTCTCGGAGTCGAAAAAACCATAGATGGGACCTCAGGTTGCACAGTTAATCATTTTTCTATCCATGCAGCTCTCGTGAGAGTTCGTCTTAGGCCTTCAACATTATGTAGGTGTTGTGACCAATAGATTCAGACAGGGCACGCAATATCATTTCTTGATTAGTTGTGGATGTATGGGTTCCTTGTGCAGATTAACGGCTAATTTGGCTGCGTCACCGGTGATGCGGGTATGTGTGCAAGTCTAAGGTATTGTCTGCTCTGTAATCTCGACAGCTTGTCGATAGCGCGAGTGATGCACGTTGGATGAGGCTCTTCTAGGATGGACTCGGAATGCTTCTCTGAAATTCTTGTAGCTTCCGGTTCAACGACTCTCGATGAAACTCGGTATCTGTACTGGAATTGTTTTGTTATTTTAGCCATGCACAAGCTTTGACAACTACTCAAACGGCTAATGTTATGGCGGAATTCGTCCTCGGAGCATTTCTAGAATTCGCTGGAACGTTAGCTGATCAATCTGTATCAAATTGGGTGTGAAGTTTAACAACGTTGTCGACAGGCCGACGCGTAAGCGCGTCAGACATTTGGCGCCGCATTGGACATTCTGAAGCGCATGCGCGTCAGCGTCTTAGTACCCATTTCTTCCGCACATGTCCGACTTATTCTGAAAATCTTCATTACTATTATTTATATTCATACATCATCATGCGTAAACCGTGGTGCGTCTATGAGCGGTTTGAATATCTGAGTTAAGCAGAAAGGGTCTGAGCATTACTAAATTTTCCGTCTAGTTCAATCGTTCGACTATATTTTTGGGTGGTTAAAGGAATCTTCCACGGACCATGGACCAGTGGGCGGGACCGGAAGTTTTTGTGACGAAATGCATGGTAGGTACGGATCCACGTGTCGAACGCACGAACGTGAACAGGATTCACTTCAAACCTTCCCATGAACGTGGATCCGTACCTACCATGCATTTCGTCGCAAAACCACTTCCGGTCCCGCCCACTGGTCCATGGTCCGTGGAAGATTCCTTTAAAAAGGATAAAGGATAAAGCATTTGCCGTTGATCAATCCCGCATTCTACTTCCATTTGTACATTCGTAGTGGCGTTTGAATGCGATGTGGCCTATACAATGACTTGCGGGGGCCAGCCGATGTACAAGTCAGTGTTTTTATCCTCCCAGACAAGTCTGGTACCAATTAACCGACCCCGGAGGGATGGAAGGCTTGGTTGGCCCGGGCGACTCACGACCCAGGATTTGATCCCCGGACCGCTCGCGTGGTAAGCGCGCCACTTGTCACTACACCACTTCCGCCCTTGTAATTGGGAGCAGTTAAAGCGAAGATAAAGGATAAAGCATTTGCCGTTGATCAATCCCTTTTGGGATGCGGCACGCATTCTACTTCCATTTGTACATTCGCAGTGGCATTTGAATGCGATGTGGCCTATACAATGACTTGCGGGGGCCAGCCGATGTACAAGTCAGTGTTTTTATCCTCCCAGACAAGTCTGGTACCAATTAACCGACCCCGGAGGGATGGAAGGCTTGGTTGGCCCGGGCGACTCACGACCCAGGATTTGATCCCGGACCGCTCGCGTGGTAAGCGCGCCACTTGTCACTACACCACTTCCGCCCTGTTAACAGCGTAAAAACAAAATTATAAATGCAAACACAATGTGATACATAATGTCAAGGAATTACGGTTCTATGGATGAGATGACTTGTGTTTTTCATTTGAGCAGTCTATACAAAGAATTTTCTACATCTTCTGCAGCGCGTTTTAACCCTTTTTGTTTTGGTGAGAGCCGCGAAAGCGATCCTTGCCTTTAGAGATAGTTATCGTAACGTTCTAAACACTTTCTTCTATTAATTTCTTCCAAACCTTTACCTTCTTCTTCTGACATACGTCACGTGGGAAGCAACTGACTTAGGAAGTATTCATGCTCAACGTTCAGCTGTGATTCGACCACTTTCTTGGAGTCATCCGAAGAGATAGTGTGAACATGCACATTCCAGCTTTCCACGCATGTCATTCGAATCGCCCGACCCTCCTCTCTCCCCATCTCCCGAACTGGCTATACTCCCCAGACTCATGGATTCCTTATTCTGCATTGATGTCATCACTAGTATTTCGCTGAGAGGGTAGAGACAAGCAGCGCGCGTCTTTACCGGAAGCCCCCTCCCCCCAATTAGCGTTGTACCCTTGTTTTGCCACTTTTCAGTTTTGAGTTCCGAAAAACGCACCTCGTGGGACAAGCTGACGCGCTTGCGCGTCAGGCAAATCGCGCCCGCCAAACTGCCCATGTCCCATGCGGCGGAAAAAGCCAAAATCTGCGCTGTCGTCAACGTGTTAAGCAACAAAATTCTTCCAATCCTTGTAAATCTCCTTCAATTTGAACAAGGGCTTTAATTCTCTTGGCACAATGTAATTCACTTACCGATAGCGATGCACGCCCGCCGGCGAGCACCTGATACCGACACTATCCGTTTCGGATCGACCCCAGCACCACAGTATACCGCCACGTCCTAAAGTTGTAATGTTATGCAGCGATGCTTTAGAATTGCGATACGATATAAAATACAGCTCTCCAGATTAGAGATAAGAAGTTAAAGCTCATGAAAAGACGCATCTGCTGCTCTAATCTGTTTTTATCGTCAGCAAGATTTAATACGTGTAATCACGAGTCGAATTGACATATCAGGGGGAGGGGGGAAGAGGGGTGTTCTTAGGTCCCACAGAAAAAAAAACTTTAAAATGATTATTTATTAGTTAGTCAGAAATGACTGATACAAAAGCGACTGTAGTTAGTTTGCTAACTAGCTAGTTTGCTTCCATCACATTTCTTTTTTCGAACTTCTCGCCTCGAGCTAGCCAGGGAAATCACTACAGATCGGTCTCAGGTAGTAACTTATATGGGAAAGCTGGTTCGGTATCTTCGACTTTTTTCTGAGTCACAAACTTTAAGTAGTACCTTGCTGCTCCCATATGCCGCATGTATCCGTATTCCCATATCGGTTATATGTTTAAGGTGAAGTGATTTTTGCTTCAGTGGATCTGTCGAAAACGATGGATTGAACAGCAAAAGACCATGCGGAAAGCAGTGTTGAGCCAACCACGCCGACACTACCCTTTGTTGCATATCTGGGCGAGCCGTCAGATACAGTATCAGTTGACCCTGAAAGTAATTATGACTTCCATTTGATGAAGTTCGTAGAACCATAACCTTGTTCAAAATGATGTTCATTCTCTGATAGAGGAAAAGTCAGCTATTGTTGAGTTTTCGAGTGAAACGCCAGCTGTTTCGGTGAAACGAGCGGTCGTAAAGCAGAATCGCTTGCTTGAATGGCACAAGTAAAAGAGCTGACATGGACAATTGGAAAAAACGCAGAAACGTCACTATTGCTCCAGATATCTCTAGGCGACCAGAAAGTAGGCAGCAGGGTAACACTCGCGGCTACTCAAACGATTTCTCTGAGAATGAAATTGTTTTTTCCTACCTGCTCAAACCAATAGCGCACCACGTCTACAGCACCTGGACGGACTCGTGGATCTTTTCCAGTGACAGAAACAGAGGCGGTCAGTGAGCCGTCAACGGAGAACACAACACATCGTGTTGTTGACGGCACGACTGCGACGAACGAATCCAAGTATGAACGATCGCCGTGCACAACCATCTGGAACGTTGAATTCGCAGTGTGGCCATGACATGTTACACCTGCTTTTTTCAAAAGAGTGGCTAAATTCGGCAAACTGCAAGCTAATGGGCGCATTCCGGGCGCATACCACTCATTAGGCAAGCGTCAGACTTTGCTAAGAACTGCTAGCAAATCGCGCGATTCCCTAGAGATTGGTCGAAGAGTCTGACACCTGCCTTTCACTGGTGTATGGCCGTACTGCGTCCCCTGCTTCCAATGCGTTTGGCAAGACCACTGTTGGAAAAACATTTTCCACGTGTATTATAGTTCACCTTGAGGGAATGGATTCCACATGGAAGTGACATTCCTAGTGAGACCAGTAGACGACCATGAGAATCTACCTCGAACACGCCAACTTCATACCAATCACCTCTGAAATGGCGATTAGACTAAGAAAATAATAGTTTTTTGAACCAAAAAAAATTCCACTCCAGTGTCGAGAAGTGATTGATGATCCCACCTTTGGGGACATAGGAAGACGGACACTTGTTCTCTTGTCAGCGCGACGAGATCCATTGTGCCGTAGGGCAAAAACCCTTGGCTATGCGTTCACTTCACTGCGCGGCCACCCATGGAAGGGGGCGAGGACGTCGTTCGCTCGATGGTTTGGTGACAGGTTCGCTACCTTAAATTTCATGGTCCAAGAGACAAATTCGGAGTAAAAAAAGTGTAAAAGTGCTAGGACGTCGATGAACCCTCTTGTTGCTTGCCACGGAAGTGCCGCCTATCGGCAATTATATTGTGCAGATATCCGAACACAAACCTTGAAACGAGTTCTTTTCCTTTTCCATTGCAGCGGTGGTAACTCTATCTTTAGCGGCAGATGATTGAGGCTGGCAGAAAGGGTGGTAGCGACTGACTCTTCACTTCTGACGAACTGCCGAAGTATGAACGCAGCAGTGTCCAATGATTCCCAATAGGATGCATGTAAAATATTCGGTAACGCAGATGAGGGGAGAGCAACCATTGCTGAAATATCTAAAATCAGATAGCTCATGAGATGAAAACGATTGAGAGCGCTCCGAGATACAAGAGAGGAGGGTAATCCTGATTATCAGTCAAACAACCCCTCTTAGCTGTGCACATCCCGGTCTGCCCACCGGGCCGTTATAATACCCTTCGTATCAGACGTTGTTCGAATGATTTTCTTACGTCTTTAACAAGTGGCGAACATTTGAAAGAAGTGAATGGGTGGAAGGATGACCGTAGTTAGGAATCATATGGCATCTTTCGGTACCGGACAGGAGGCCCGTCGCGCGGTGAAAAGGCAGAGACGGAGATTGGTCAGCGGACGAGTCGCAGCGCGTACTGTAGCGATTCAGCGTCAAGTTAATAGAATGCGTGATACGTATCACGTCCCATATAGCAATACGTGCTGCGACTCATCCACCGACCCGTCTGCAACTCCGCCTTTTCGCCCGCGACGGGCCTCCTGTCGGGTACGCGGCATCGCTAGGCCAGCTAGCATTGTCAGTAATCCTTTATTTTGTCAAAAATAATTTTCTGCATTACCTGTAGGACAATAGAGAGCATGATCCATACGTTTGCTACCCCATAAAGGTGTGAGATCGACCGAGGAATCAAAGTATATAGGACGACCGTCTCCCACGGGATACCGCTGATACCTGGAAAAGGAGAAATTTAGGTTGAATGGGGACTAATTTTTGAGAGTTCTTATTTCCGTCAATCAAATATACACTAGGGTGATTGGTATGTTTACAACTGAATTCATCAATGATATAAAATGGAAAATTGAAAACGTTGTGTTAGTCGTGGATATCAAGGGAACGCTTCTGAAGGATTTGATCTACTCTAGAGTGCGCCACGCATTTGACTTTCATTCATGATCAAAAAGACACTGAGAAGCTGGGTATCATCAGCCTGACTTTATTTTTACTTGTTGTATATTGAGGATTTTTGAAATTAGACCTAAATCTTATGTAAAAATTATACATAATCTTGTCAAACTCCATTCTATTGCAATGAAGGCGCTAACCTCGGAACGTTAGCAGGTTGAAGTAGGCTGAGGTGCGGGTTAAGGACTGGCTCCAGCCGAGCACCGCACGGATCAAGCGGGTAGTATAGGTTGAACACTTGACATACTTCCAGCGGATCGATGTCTAGAAAGAATTGGATGACAATATGATGTTGTCAAGCCTTGTTAGTGAAACATTACCATATCCAAGCAACTTTCGTTGCGTGAGAACCAAACCGAGCGGACACCCCAGAAGGAATGCCGTCGAAGGTTGGAATATGATGCGGGTTTGGACCTTAACAAAACTTTACTCAATCATTTTAGAGCTTATTTTGGTCTCATTTTTCTGATCCCTCTCCAGTAGAATCTCCAGTGTTGGTCAGGAAGAGAACTTCACCATGACACTATCAATAGACGCGGACCCAAGAGATGCTTTCTTTTTCGAGGCAGCTTGAGGAAGAAGTGCTGGACTGGTTCGAGCGTTCGCAGACTTGATTGACGGTGATTTTTGAATGACTGGCTCGGGGAGGCACGAACTTA